CAGACAAGCAGATCTTGACAGTTTCACGAGATGGGCTTGTTATATTATTCTTTTTTTCTCATCTTTGTCTCATTTCCAAGTTTCTTATAAAATTTCTTAGTATAGCAATATCTAATTATATTGGTGTTTGTAAATTTATTGTCATCAGCAGGAAAAAGTTTCTGAGCAACATCTCTGTAAGGAATGTGAAATGTTACAGTGCATACTTCCCAACTGCACCTAAAAAAAACAGAATACACATATGAAAATTTTGTAAAAAACAATAGAAGGCAATTTTGTAAATGCTAAAAGAAGGCCTTGAACATCATTTCTCAGACTATATTATATACAATATTAATCCTGGAGTTGCTCTGAGAAAAAAATGAAAATGAAAACAAATCATCTGGGTTCAAATAAGTTTGGAAATCACTTCACCACAGTATGTCATTTAGGAGAGTCATTATGCATCTTAACATAGCAAAGGCTCTGAGACACCCTAGAGGAAACCAGACCTATTTAACTTTATTTAAACTAGCATTTGTCATATTTATTTTAACGCCAACCTCCTTTCCTTAATGCCTGTTAATATCTCATGGAAATGGACTTATAAGAACATATATTTTCATTCAACAAATATTTATTGAACTGCAAATATATGCTAGGCCCTGTGCTGATGGTTACAGTAATTGTGGTTTTGAACAGGGTAGAAGAGCTACCATCCTTCATGGAGTAAATATTCTAATATAGAAATAGACAATGCACAAAATAATTACAGATTTTGATAGCTGTTATGAATGAATAAAATAGGGTAATGTGAGAGCAAGTGAGAGGGGCCAACTTTAGATGGTGTGGTGACAGAAATACCATGGACAAGGGGGAGTATGGCATAAATTGGAATAGGTAGAATTCAGAACCTGCAGAGTCTTATAGGTCATGGTGAGGAGTTTTGACTTTATTCTAAGAAGAGTGAAAAGAATTTGAAAGAATTTTTTTAAGTTATTGAAATTATTTTTTAAATATTTGTATACAATCACTCTGGAAGGATCAAATAGGGGAAAAAGGAAAGCAGGTAACAGCAAGACTGTTTGTTACTTGGAAACTGATAAGGACCCCTTTGTTGGGCAAAAAAAGGACTAATAATAGCTTCCACTAGTGCATTGTCAAAGGAAATAGGCATAAACGGATAGATTAGATATTTTTACAAGATTAGTCATTTTTAAGCATGGATTAATGTGAAAGCAGTAGAAATGAAGAGTAATGGGCAGACAAAAAAAAATATTAAGCAATAGAAGTGACAAGGATTGCCTTAATTACTAGGAGTGGAAAACCAAATTGTTTAGAATGACTATCATCAGAAAAAAAGATTGATAAAAAACATCAAAAAGCTAACAAGATAGAGGCAAACAACACTGTTGGATTCTTTGGGTAATTCAGAACTTAGAGAGGTAAGCAATACACTGGAGCACCAAACCTTTATTTTCCCTGAGAGCATTCCTAATTGTGGCAAATTTGGGATTTGTTTCAGTAGTTTTGCAAAGACAGAAGTTAGGGTCTTCTCTAGGTGGGGTCCTTATAGGGAGATACTCTTCATCTTAAGCTGGGACACAAAGAGCTATAGCTTCAGGATAAGTGGAAAACAGAACTAAGCATGCTCCTCATTACAATTTTAGGGAACTGTAGGGAAGGGGTGCCTTGATAATGAGTAGAGAGGAAGAAAAAAAAATCCTTAAGTAGCTGGGGCTACGGAGAGACCCTCATAAGAAAACTGAAAACAGTATCATAATGGATTTACCTTATGAACTAGAAACAAAGGTTTCACATTCTTTAAGTTGTCCCTTTTTTCTTCCTCACAAGAAAGAAGTGTATTTTGTAAATGCTGTACATTTCTCTGGTGATTGATTATATGGCTTAGTTTTTACAGAATAAAGGACAATTCATAATTAGCTTTGAGTTCAGGAGACACAGCCACATGCTCATTTCACACAACTACTTATTTTCCCTCGTTCCTCTCCCAAAGGCATCTAATCTAATCACAGAAGGTAAAGGCAGATGCTGGCCTGAGAGACTAGCCTGCCCAAAGGACTACTGAGATGAGAAGCCATCTTTTTAAATACACAAGGAAACAAATCTTTGGAATTACTGACCAAAATAGAGAATAGAGTCCTCCCCCAAACTCCATTTTTAGATTAAATTTTTTATGTAGATGATGCTTGAATCCTTTCTTCCAAATTAAAGATTGGTAACTCCTCCCAAAGTCTCATCTACGTCACCCTCCAGACATCTCCCCTGACGAGGCGCTGGCAGTCACTGCAAAGTTAATAGTACAAAAGGGGGTTTGTTTCTCAGTGAAGGTCCTGGGAATCCACTTTTGAGACTGAAGCCGAGAGAAAGGACTCAGTTCCTCCTGAGCACAGATCCCAGGTCTACAGAAATCACATCTTGTCCCTATCCTTTTTTTCCCTCAAGAAATAACCCTCATTTTGTTGTTGTTCTTGATTTTCTTGGTAAAAGATCTGAGGGACAAAATCCAAATAGCTTCGGTTCCTGGGCAAAGCTGTGGTGTTTGTCATTAACTGAAGTAAGTATAGATGAAACAGTTTTCTAAAACATTAATTTTTCTAGCTTTTCCACAACTCCAAGTAAGTTGCAGTATGCTCTACTTTGAAAATAAAAGTTGAATTACTACTAGTAATTCATAGAAGATGATGTCAAACACGAGTAAAAGCACTGTTTCTCCGGTTCCATTTTAGGAGCTGTATCTGCACAGGTTTCAGAGAGACACAGAACTGAAGACAAAAGCTACAGGAAACAGTTACCATCCACTAGAAAGTTCAGGTACGTTAAGAAATATGGAAAAGGCAGATTAATTTAGGGATGTTTCACAAATTTGTTTTAAAACTAAAAGAATATTAGCTGTTTTGTGTTTTACTTTTGCTTGCACGTTTATATAATTGTCTAATTAGTGAGTAGCCAGAGCTGGAGCAGGCACAGTAACGCTTTTACCTGATAAACTAGATTCTATATCACTGCAAGCTGAAAGAAGCAGACACAGACAGAAAACCAGGCCAAACCAGGGTAATGACTGGCAGGGAGAAATTTGGAGTTCTTCTGAAGGAAGTGTCAGACATAATGTGATCAACACCAATACCAGAATGCTCCCCAGGAAAGGTGAAGTATTCCTTTACCTTAAGTAAGGAAATCAAATTAAACTACTGGTAGATCTTTCTTTTTCCAAGGTTGCTATATGTTTACTTCATTATATTGATCTCGTTGGAAACCAGATCATTAAATGTTTTGGAAGATCGTCAACTCAATCTAGACCAGAATACCAACCCCTGCTTCTTCTTAAATGCCAAGTCAGTAGTCTCACTGGCTGCTTCCTTCCATTATGTTTCCCTTTTTCCAAGGACTTCATGGAGTCTTTTTCTTCCAGTAGTACCTTTAGAGAAATTTGAATTAAAGAATCAAGTGCCGTAAGGGGACCATAAGAACAGAGAAAAGCAAAGTTGCTCAAAGGAAACATGGGTCCAAAAATGCTGTGTTACTGAGTGGTTTAGTCTTGAGTGAAAAGGACAGTATCGGGGCTACATCTACCCTCCCTGGGACCTTGGCCAAGGGTGTCTGCACAGCTTATGCATCTGGAGTGTGGCCTCAGTTGATGATTAGAGCACTTGGCGGCACAGGAAATCAAGTCGTTCTTGGAAAGCAAATCGGGCGGTCCCTTGCTGATGTTCCCGTGTGTCTTCTCAGTACTTTCATGTGTCCTCTAAATATTCACATAGGTCATTTGAGGACATTTCCTTTTTCTTTGTGGACAACTGAGAAAAATGAAAAGGTTTCAAAGGGGGGCCAGTGCATGTGTATTTCTGAGGTACCTGGGTCAACTTCAGAATCTCACATAGGGTGACCGACCGTCCCTGTTTCCTGGAGTCTGAGGGTTTCCTGAATCACAAGACTTTCAGTGCTAAGACTGGGACAGTCCCAGGCAGACAGGCATATTTGGTTACTCTAGTCTCATACCATATTCATCTACCATCTCCCCTTTTTGCCACGCCCTTGCTCTCATCTGCACCCACCACCACCCTCCCAGCTTCAAGGTCCAATGAAGTGGTTCTTTTCTTGCATATATGAAATGATTAAGGCTTCCAGGTAGAAAGTTAACTGAATTTAAAATTCAAATGGGGGGCAGAAATAATGATTTAATCATTTATTAAGCAATTACAATGTACATATTGCTTAAAAGATAATGTACTAGATACTGAAAAAAAAATTCAAAGATAACTAACACTTGGCCTCTATTCTCAGAGGTTACAGTTTAGTATATTAAGACATGCCAAAAAAGTGATACAAAGTATGAAGTATAAATTCTTTTTTTATTTAAGTATAATCGGTTTACAGTGTATTCATTTCTGATGTACAACATAATGATTCAGTTGTACATATATATTCCATTTTATATTCTTTCATTATTGGCTATTACAGGGTACTAAATACAGTGCTGTACAGGAGGACCTTGCTGTTTATCTATTTTATATATATAGTAGTTGGTATCCACAAATCCCAAACTCCCAAGTGTAAACTCTTTAGTGTAGAAATACACTGTAGCTTTTAGAATGTTACTTCTCATTCCTTTTAGCTTAGAAAATAATGATTCATTTCTTTAATGTTGATTCAGAAAATATGTTGGCATGCCAATGAAGTGAACTGCACTGTGCTAGGCATTTGTAATATGGAAATGGAAAATACTACCTCTGAGTTCATGAAGCTCAGAATGGTAAATAGAAAAGTGACCAGTTACAGTAGGGCATATTATAAGTGTACACACATATACACTAGATGCTATGGCAAAATAAAGAATTAGTATATGATGGTAGAGTCCAGCAATACTTCATGAAAGAGGTAATTAGGGAACAGTGTAAACTGCAAATACAAATTATCTAGGCCACAAAAAGAGTAAGTAAATAAATAAGTAAGAAGATGGATAAAGAGAAGGGAAGAGATCCAGAAGAGCTAGAGAAGGAAAGAAGGAAGGAAGGAATGAAGGAGCAACAGAAATCTAAGAGAGAACACCATGTGATTTGGCAGAAATGCAACAATTCTTTTTTTCCTGGGATATAGGACTCAAGAGGACACAAGGAAAGATATGAGATTAAATAAGTAGTTAAGGATCAGATCATGAAGGGCCTTGTATGTTATGCTCAGTTGTTTGGATTTAGCTGCATAATGATAATGTTTCATTGCAGCAGAGCTTACAGACTAAATGAACATCTCTGGATCAGGATCCCATTCTGAATCAGTGAGTGAATTCATCCTTCTGGGCTTTCCCTGCAGCAGGGAGATCCAGGTCATCCTGTTTATGTTCTTCTCCATCATCTACCTTCTGACACTCGTGGGAAACGGAGCCATTATCTGTGTTGTGTGTTGGGACCAGCATCTCCACGCCCCCACGTACATCCTGCTGGGGAATTTTGCCTTCCTGGAGATCTGGTATGTCAACTCCACTGTTCTAAACACACTGGTCAACTTCCTCTCAGAGACCAAGGCCATCTCTTTCACTGGTTGCCTCCTTCAATTATATTTTTTCTTTTCCATGGGCTCCACTGAGTGCTTCTTTCTCTCAGCAATGTCCTTTGATCGATACTTTGCCATCTGTCATCCTCTGCATTATGCCACAGTTATGACTGGACAGCGTTGTTTCAACCTAGTGATTTCCTGTTGGGTGTGCGGCTTTCTCTGGTATCTGGTGCCTGTTATTCTCATCTCCAGACTGCCTTTTTGTGGCTCAAATGTGATTGACCACTTTGTATGTGACTCAGGCCCATTGCTGACCCTTTCATGTGTTCCTGCCCCCATGTCCAAACTCACCAGCTACACACTAAGCTCCCTCATCATCCTCCTTAGCTTCCTTTTCATCCTCATCTCCTACGCTCTGGTTCTACTCGCTGTGCTTCGGTTGCCCTTGGCATCCAGTCGACATAAGGCCTTTTCAACCTGTGGGTCCCATTTGGCTGTAGTGCTGCTTTTCTACGGGACCATTATGGTGATGCACGTGAGCCCTGGGTCCAGCCACTCTGCCCTGATGCCAAAGATGATGACCTTGTTCTATGCAATGGTGACTCCACTCTTCAACCCTTTGATTTACAGTCTCAGGAATAAGGATATGAAAAATGCTCTCTGGAAAGTTCTGGAAGAGTTTAAAATTTCTTTAAAAGTCTTCAGCAGCAGGCCCAGGAGGAATATGGAATAATCTAGTGTAGTGTGATGTGGGTAAAATGACCATCCTTTTACTTTCGCTCATTTGTATAGTCATTCATTCAATAAATAGTAACTGAATGTGTGCTAGATACTGTGCGTAGCGCCAGATTATGAAAATAATTTTTAAAATAAATCAGACGCCGTCTCTTCCCTCAAATAACACTCTACTGGTGGAGACAGACGGGTAAGAAAATAATTACCGTAAAATACAATTAAGTGTTCTAATCAATATATGTACAGGTTGTCACAGGAACACAAACTAAAAAAACAGTAAGTTTTGCCTGGGGTGGTGGGCAGTAGGAATTAGTGTTAGGGACAATGTCAGTCAGCATCATATTAGACCTGTGTATTTTGTGATGGGTTAGGGGAGAGTGTCTTTTATTTCTGTTTAACTTCTAGCTAGATTTCTTTTTCAGTATTACTGTGATATCTTTGAAAGGATATGGAACTTTAAATTAGAAGGTCTGGATAGGAACTCAATTCTTCCATTTTAATCAACTACGTGAATTTGGCAGATCACTTTATTTCAACTAAAATTGGAATGGTAATTCTCACTCCCAGGGAACAATTAGTATGAGGGTTTAATGAGATCATTGGTGTAAAAGTTCCTAATACAACTCTATTACATAGAAAGCACAAAATAAATATTACTTGAATATGAATATGGATGTGAATTCCATCTTCTTTTGTTCTTCATCAGAATAAAAAAAAAAAATCTCAGATCCCCCATGAAAGTCACCTCCTATAAATTTTGGTAAAGCCCTTTTACAACAGATCTACTACTCAACTTTTCTTGAGACAGAATACATTATGTTTCCTCCATTTATATCCAAAATAAAGTTTAGTCTTGGTTTGGGGGTGTGTGCGTGCATGCATGCACAATATTCTAGAGAAATAGTCTTCAAAACAGGATCTTACATACCCCTGGGGATACACAGAGACTTTCCAATAGGTGCACAAGCATGCATAGTTCAATTTCCAGATCCTCGACTTACATACATACATTTTCCTAAAGATGCTGTCCCTAAGGACATACCTGTTATTAAAGCTCAAATGGTCTTATTTCAGACATCCTCTCTCACAACTGATCTTCTCCCACTGCAAGTATAAAGTCTGCCTATTCTGACCTTAATATTTTATATTGTTTGGATAGATCAACTTCTAGTTGGGACATTGAATAATTTGAAATACTGATACCTCTCTACTGTGAAAGTGAGTGAATTTAACTGTGAGGTAGTAAATCCTTTTGTCACCGGTGGTTTACAATTATTTCTCTCAAACACAATTAAAAGAGGGCGTCTTGTTTTGGGTTGTCCCCAAAGAAGAAACAAAGACTTGGGTGCAGGTAGTTTATTGGAAAGTGGTTTCAGGTAGCAGGAATGAGGAATAAGAAGCTACTATAATCAGTGAGAATTTGATTCCACTGGAATGTCTGAGAATTGCCCATTGGAATGGCATGGGGCTAAGGCATTTCTCAACTAACTGTGGTTGCACTTGGAAACATTGACTACTCACGTTTCCAAAATATGTTGGCTGGTGCACCAAACCAGTAAGTGCAACTTCAGAAAATGGCCCTGGGAAGAAAGCAGAAAGATACATGGACAGGGGAAGAGGTAGGAAGGATGCTGTCAAACTGATTCTGAGCTCCCAAGGGACTACCCACCACCTCTGCAACTAAGATCAGCAGAACGCTCAAAAACATTCACTACAGACTCTATTTAATTGTCTTGTTAGCAGATTACAAATAATTTTGTAGTTAAAAGGCAGCATGTGGTGGTGGTAAGAATCAGACTGCTTGAATTCAAATGCTGGCTCCACCAACTGCATGACTTTAAATATGCCTCCCTTATCTCATATTTAAAGTGGCAGTACTAACAGAACTTTCTTCATAGTGTTGTTGAGGAGATAAAATGAATTAATCTGCTTATCAGAGAGTCTAGCAAAAAGTAAATACCAAAATACCTCCATCATTATAATATTTCATGCATTGTTCACAGGGAATTCATTCTGAGTATAGGTTTTAATTTGGAAGATAATTTTCCATCCAAAAGAAAATTGCCAACTACTAGATTGTAGCTGAAAACATGAGTAGTAGAATAAAGAGTTAACTAGTCAAAACACTCTACAATCAGATTAGACAAAGAAAGAGTATAGAGTATAGCAATAATGTAGACATTACTGAATCACAAAGCAGAGATGTCAGTGTGTTGAAGGAAAAGCAGGCTTTTTCAGCAACATGACTGACAAAAGTCTATCTTAACATGAGTTATGAGTGAATGCACATGCAAACACTGAATTACCTATTTAAAAAAAACCCAATGTCCTATGTAAAGAACATAGGATATGCAGAAAATCATTAGTATAGTCAAGACATAGTAAAATAAAAAAATACATGCAGCTCAGAGAAAAGAATATTGCTATATGTTATTATCATAGCCACTTATTTCATGAGAAGGAACTAGAATTGGATATCAGATTTCCACTTTAAATAGTGTATTGTATAATACATTTAGTTTATTGAACATATATCTAAAATTGTATTTCTATTTCTTATTTTGATGTATAGGCTGGTCTTTCACAGCTAATCTGTTTTCTGTCTCTTTTTCAAACTCCTGATTAACCTCCCCACCTCACTTGTTGCTACAGATCATTGATTCTTAACTAGGAGTATACCTCAAAATCAATGGGACCTTTTTTTTCAACTTACACAAGCCTGAACCCTGTCCCTGGAGATTTTAATGCAGAGGATGAAGGATGGGTCTCGAGCATGCTGATTTTATAAGAAAATCTCTGTAGATCTTATGGTCTTATGTGCACACACCCCAGTTGAGAACTGCAATTTTTGATAGATAGCCAAGTGTACTTTACATGACTTTTGTGATCAAGATCTTGATACACAGAACAACGAAACCAGGTAAGGAGCCTCCCTTACAGAACACTGCCTAGCCAGGCTTATTTGAGTCTAGGTCTGCACTTCTTTTACATGATATTTAAACCTGAAAATTGAATAACAAAATGGTGCACACCCCACCCCAAGCCCAGAGGTGTGTAAGTCTGAGACTAAGGTAGAATGTATGTGTAATATGTAACATGTCAGAATAGGAAAAAGTCTATCTAAGCCACCCTTTTATTGCAGGAATTTCTAGTCTGTCTACTCTAGGAAACAAAATCTTGGAGGCCATTGTCAGATAGAGTCCATCTAAATTAGATTTCTGTCTGAAATAATTCTTTTAACATGAAAATTCAGTGTTGATTAAAAGACTAATTTGGAATTACTAAACCACCACCATAAATGTACTACGTACTGTTTACCAAGCAGTTAGTTTAACTAGAATTATAAATGCAAATTTTAAAATTGTAAGTATAGTTCTAGAGTTAAGTGCTGACCCCTTCTCATCAAGGAATTGGTGGATGTGATTTTAAAAGGGATTGTTTCTTTACTTTCTTTTCCTGCTAATTCTATGTTAGTGTAAAGAAGTGCAACTGATTTCTGTATGTTACCCTTGTATCCTGCTACCCTGCCGAAGTCTTGTATCAGCTCCAGTAGTTTTTGTGTGACCCCTTGTGGATATATGATTTATACATACTTTCTCTCTTCTGTAGATTTTATTTACTTTCTTGATTGAATACTTTGACACAGATGAGATTCTAGTTTTCATAAAGTCCATTTAATCTGTTTTTTCTTTTGTTAACTGTGCTTTGGTGTCATTTCAAAGAAACTATTGCCTACAATAAATAAATAACTAAATACTAAATAATAAATAGGACTTTGCTCTGGGAATGTACTGTATGTTTATAGGATTGTATCATCTGAATTTTTTTTTTTTCATTCATAGCCTGGGGAAACTGAAGTCCTGAGGAGGAGGGTGGTATGAGATGTGACTAGCAGACACAGATCACATTATGCAGGGCCCTTAGGTCTTGGAAAACATTCACATTTTTTATTAGATCCTAACAATAATGGATAGCCTTTGGGAGTTTTTATAGTATGTCTGTTTGTTATATGTAAAATGCTGTGTTTTACATAAATTATGAATTCTGTCCTTAATTTATCATGAGAATGAGGTGGTATTTTACAGAAAGTGGCTGAGAAAAGTTATGCTCCTTCTCAGAAATACTAACACCATCCACTGCCCTCTTTTCATGGGTCTGAGTTTTAAGTCCATGGGTTCTTCTCTAAGCTTCTAAGTTTTAATCATGACAAACTCTTTCCTTAATTTCTCCAGCCCCAGAGCTGGTACTTTTTTCTTCAGTTGAATTTTTCTTTTAATAATCTCTCAGTGTTTTAGAATGAGCATTATTTTTAGTTCTTCAATACCTAGTTAACCGTCTCTAAATGATACTACTGTATTAAAAGAACTGGTTATAGTTCTTGTCTCCTAATTTAGAAACTTATAACAAGAAATTGGTCCCAGGAAACAGACCCTCAAATACATGGCTTTGAAATTAGCTCGGTCTTGTCTTTGAGAGTGACCTCAGTGCTGAGCTCCCTGCCGATGTGAAATAGGATGCTAGTCATCCCACTACAGGCAAGCAGTGGCATCATGACTGTCATGTTGATTATACTAAAGTGCCAACTGGAGCAAGGGACTATTGCGTCTGACCAGTTTGTTACTGATGATAAATACAGGGAATGTGGCATGTGGTAGATTCTTCTAAATGCTTACAGAAAGAAAGGACAAGCTCAGATTTTTAAATGTTCATTTCAAGTTACAGTCTGAGAACCAGAAAAATTCTATGGCAGCTCTTAAATAATATCTTGTTTATTGTAGTTACAGACATAATCTTGCTGAAATCAGTCACAGAAGTTAATTTTGTAGGTTGCAGAATCATAATTTAATTTGTGAAGTTTGTGAAATTAAGGCTATTGCTTAGTAAGGAATGGGAATTACAGGGAATTAAATATGCACACAGTCTTCCAAACTTCCAGAGACATGTGCATTTTTTTTTAATGCTGGTTTTCTAGGAGTTGCCCTTGGATCAAATTAGCCTATTTTTCAGGCAGTATTTGTTCAAAGGTGTGATTATATCCCTAAGGGTACAATGGTCAGTGTTCTAGTGGGCTCTCGTAGTTACTAAATACCAAAACTTGGGCCTCAGTGATTGTGTGATCTAAGCTACCCATCTACTGGGTCACAACCTCCTCAGAGCTTTCCAAGCATAATCAAACTATCCCCTACACTCATGGAGGAAGGGAGAGAAGAAAGAGGCAGACCCCTCTTGGTTAGTAGCTGCAGGTTTAATAAGTAAAGGATCTGACTCCCCAGGGCTTGTCTTGGGTGGCTGTAAGAAGAATAGATTTCTGCACCCACCCCACCAAATCCTAAAAGTTTACACAGGGGCCTTAGCTGGGCTCAGACATGCACTAAGTCCAGGTGATCTCAAGACCACACTACTACACGCAAGGCTGTGTCCTTGGGACAGCTTACAGCATAGGGCAGGCAAGTGGAACTCAGGCCAAGGACAGGGGAGGGGAAAAATAGCCTCCTATTGCCTTGTTCCAGTTTTGGGGGTCAAACTGGTATTCACTTCTTCCTAATGACCTCCCTCAACACCGTCATGAAGTGGATGCTGTCTCATTCTTCAAGCCATTAAATGGAGATGCAGAAACTGCATTATATCATCAAGGGAAATGGTACACAGAAGATCAGGCTTAGCAGGTCCAGCAGATTAAAACGTTGAATTAGCTTATGACTCAATTCCTTCAACAGCTACTACTGTCCAACTGCCTCCTGTCCCTCAATGTACATACATAGAGAATTCTGTATAAGCAGTGGATTAAAATTTTTCAGTTTGGGCCGATTATACAGCTGGTTTTGTATGATATGTTGGCAACAACTAGAAGAGAAAGTCTGCAGCTGTACAGCCCCAGTTTAGTGAAGTATTATGGTTAAATATTAGTTATGGTTAGTACTATGATTACGGCCATGAAAAACAGTGATGAGGAGAAATTCTCCCTTTGGGAAGAAATGCAAGCAGTGCATGCGGTTGTCCGCTTTGTTTGGCTAGAAGCATGGATGTAT